TTGTCTCACAATTCCCTTCTGGTAAGAGGGGTTAAAGTATTCAAAGAAAAGCTGAGAAAGTGGGAAAAGCAAAAATAGGAGAAGTCTGAGCAAAAAAAGGGCATTGGGGACACCAAGCCATGACAGCAATTTCCTAGAAGTTTGAGGAACTTCAGCCCTGGAGGCTCCAGATGGCACTGCCCAGAGGAAGGGTGTGACAGGGGAAATCAGCTGTCTCTGCAGTTTTTGGAGTCAAGTCTGGTTTGTTTTTCAAAGGCTGTGACACCAAAGAATCCCAGAATGGTTTGGGTTGGGAAGGGACCTCAAAGCCCATCCAGTTCCATTCCCCTGCCATGGCAGGGACACCTTCCACCATCCCAGGGTGCTCCAAGCCCTGTCCCAACCTGGCCTTGGGCACTGCCAGGGATCCAGGGGCAGCCACAGCTGCTCTGGGCACCCTGTGCCAGGGCCTGCCCACCCTCACAGGGAGGAGTTTAGGTCATCAATGACACAACAAGTGGAGGGAACTGCAGATAATTCATTTCCATGATGTCCAGCTCTTATGGAGGCCTTTCCCATCCTCCAACACAGCATTTATCTCTCTGGGACCAACACAACCACAGCAAACCTCACTGTGAGCTGATGCATTTACAGTAATTAAATGTAAAAAACCTTAGGGCAAAGTAGGACAAAACTCTAAAAAAATATTTAATTCAGGGATGTTGAACATATTAAACTTCTGTGGGTTTTACAGAGATTCTTTGGCTTGGTTATGGCTCAGAGGAGTGAGGATGTTTGTTCCCTGTATCTAAAATGCATCACCTTGTTCAGCAGCCTTTGATAAGCATCTGTGAGGGGGTGAGGCACTGGAAGAGGATTTCAGAAAAGATGCCCCTGGATCCCTGGAAGTGCCCAAGGCCAGGCTGGACAGGGCTTGGAACAACCTGGAATAGTGGAAGATGTCCCTGCCCACTGCAGAGGGTGGAATTGGATGGACTTTAAGATTTCTTCCACTGTAAACCATTCTGGGGTTCTACTCTATGATTCTATAAGGAAATATTTTATAGACTGCCAGAAAATCACCAAATTCCCCTGCTACACTATATCCTCAAATGCCTTCTCCTCTTCCTGGTACTGAGGGCTTGTGCTGTTGCTCAACAGCTTTCCATTTATACAGCAGGACCATTGAGTGGGGAACACGAGTCTTGCATTTCAATCAAAACCATCTGCAAACAAATACTTGGCAGCAATCTCTGACAATAACGACCTCATGCAAAGCATTTCTTCCTCAATGCCTTTCCCCCTTCATTAGTGACCAGCCCAGCAGGTGCCTGCTGAGCAAACAGCTTTGCTCACAACAGAATTGTGTATCCTGCAGCCCTTTTCACTCTGGAAAAGGATGCACAAAAGAGGAATCAGCTTTCTGTGACCTGGGAGCCATAAATATTTTCTCCTTCAGCACTGAGCTCAAGAATGGCGTTTCATTTTCTGAAGAAGGGAAGTGAGCCTGGCTCTTGCATAAGGAATTCCTGTAAGTGTTTACTTTGTGCTTACAGTGGAGAAGTCCATCAGCTACAGTAGCTTCACCCACAAATCACAGCCAAAATCCAAATTTGGCAGAAGGACTATCAATGTAAACTGCACTAAATATTCCTGCTAAACAGGAGCAGGCTGCAGACTCCAGGAGCAGGGAGGTGGATTTTTGCATGTGTCACCTTTGAGGGAACAAAGGTTTCTTCTTCTGCTGGTACCTTGAGAGATCACCCTGCCCTCTGCTTTTTTTCCCTTCTATCAGCTGGGCTGAAATCCTCAGGAAAGAAAAGTATTAACTGATGCCTGGAGCAGTTTGCTTAATAGAAATGTATCCCCAAGGTATTTGCACTTTTATTCTCCGTGCTCACCACAAAAATGCCAGTGTGTCATCAGGAATGCATCACACCTCTGAGGAACTAATGCAAATAATTCTCTGCTGCACTGCAGGCTGTTAAACCCACACCTGGAAAACAGGCCAAGGACCTCCTGGGATTTTTACCTCTGCCTTGACAGCTAATTCCTGATGGAAATGAGATGCCAGGGCAAGCTGGAGATTCCCCCTGGATCCAGCTGCATGTCTAGGCACTGAAGCACCTCTCACACTCCAACCCAAAGGATTTTGTCCCTTGCTGGAGTGTTAATGACACAGGTAGGATCCCATTAATTCCCACCTGGCCCTCGAGTCAGGGATGCAATTCCAGCAGGAGTGCAGCTCCTTGGCAAGACAACATTTCTTTCCCAGCTTCCAAAGCCTTTTGCAGCACCCAGACTCCATGTCCACTCCACTGCTAGCCCAAGCAGTCACAAGCAGCTTCTTTTCTGCCTGTTTTGGGTAACTGGGGGCAACCACCAGAGCAAGGGAAGGCACTGCAGTGGTTATCCATCATTTTTTCCTCCCTCACACACTGATGGTGTAATTTTTCCAGCCTGGTTTTTATTTTCAGAAAGGTTTGCTCCTCTTTGTGTGAGGAACACAAACACATCCATGAGGGCTAAAGGACTGAAAATGAAAGTGAGTATGAACAGCAGGAAGGTGACCATGGACAGGCTGAGAATCAGTGGCAGAGCCAAGGTCACAATTCCCTTTGGATGAGTCCTGAGCCATCTCCCTGCAGGAAAAAATCACTTGTGGCTGTTTAATTCAGGGATGTTGAACTTATTAAATTTCTATGGGCTTCACAGAGATTCTCTGGCTTGGCCATGGCTCAGAGGAGTCAGGACCTCTGTTCCCTGTATCTAAAATGCATCACCTTGTTCAGCAGCCTTTGATAAGCATCTGTGAGGGGGTGAGGCACACAAAACACAACCACATCCATGGGGGCTGAAGGACTGAAAATGAAACAGGAGGAGGGTGACCATGGACAGGCTGAGAATCAGTGGCAGAGCCAAGGTGACAATTTCTTTTGGATGAGTCCTGAGCCATCTCCCTGCAGGAAAAAGTCACTTGTGGCTGTCCCTCAGCACAGTGACACTTGCTCCAGGCACTGCCTTTCATTGAGTGCAGATCAGTTTGAATTCTCCCCAAAGAAAAAGAGAAACCACTTACAAAGCCAAGGCATCATCTTCAAAATACATCCCCATCCTTACGTGGCCACTTAGGATGTTTCCTGCCTCTTCAAAAGCTTCCCTGGCTGGAAGAAAGACAAAGACACAAGAATAAACAACACAAAGAGAGGTGTTGAGGTTTTTTCCTGGAAACCTGATTGATGCCTGCACACATAACATCCTGCCAGAGCAGATTTTCAGGAATTAAACCAGGATTAGAGGCTCCCAAGAAATGACTGCAGGCCATGGGAGGAGGAGCAGGCAGAGAGCAAGGATTAGGGCAAAATTCCCATTATGAGAACAGTGTTTGCCCTTCAGCTACCAGCACTGAGCCTCCAGGATCTGCAGGACAGAGGCACTGCTGGAAAATGAAATATCTTTAAGGACTTAGAGTCTGTAAGTGTTCTTGGAAACAGGAGACCAATTATAAGTCTAAACAAAAATCTTATAAATCCCAGTGACCTTTGAGAAATGATGGATGGTGGCTTTACTGGAGTAGGGCTAAGAGCCCGGAGATAAACCAACCTCTCCTTCAAGTGTCTCTTGGTTTATCCAGCTCTTCCCAGCAGACTGGGGCTGTTGCAGGATAAGGAAAAACCAGGCTGGGCTCTCTTGATCACTGAGAGCACAAAACAAAGCTGGCTGCAGAGCTGCTTCATTCCCTTATAAAAAGCCTCCAATTCCACAGAATTTCAGAATGATTTAGGTTGGAAAAGACCTTAAACTCATCTTGCTCCACTCCCTGCCACGGGTAGGGACTCCTTCCATCAGCCCAGGTTGCTCCAAGCCCTGTCCAGCCTGGCTGTGGTTTCAGGGAAAGCCAAGCTTTGAGGGAACATGCAAGGCACGGTGAGGAACTTGTGAAATGCAGAGATCAGAGCTGCAGAGAGCTGCTGCCAAAGGTGGGGTGAGAACAGGGAGGATTTCAACACCACCACCCCCCTCCTCCTCTGCTCTGAGCAACTGAAACAACAAAACCAGCTCTTCTGACCCAAGGAGAAATCTCACTTTTTGGAGAAGTCAGGTTTTTCCTGAGAATTAAGGGGGTACCTCAGACACAGCCATGACATAAATTGCTGTCACACACCAGTGACTGCTCCTCAGAACCTTCACTGACACAGCACAGGCCAGCCCAAGCTCCTGGGAGCAGTGACTCACAGCTCAGTAGCTGGAGCTGCCTCTCAATTGGTGACTTTGTGACTTTTTGGTTCTTTGATTCCTGTTTTGCAGCTACACTCAAAGCTGTGTTTTCCACTGTTTCCCATGTGGCCCATAAACTTTCAATTAAACTGTTTTCCTTTTTAAATGGAAGGAGTTCCTTAAGGAGTGGCTCATTGAGGGCTCAGTCATTATCACAGAATCTCTGAATGGTTTGGGATGGAAGGAACATTAAACTCAGCCAGTGCCACCCCTGCCATGGCAGGGACACTTCCACTGTCCCAGGCTGCTCCAAACCCCATCCAGCCTGGCCTTGGGCACTGCCAGGGATCCAGGGGCAGCCACAGCTGCTCTGGGCACCTGTGCCAGGGCCTGCCCACCCTCCCAGCCAGGAATTCCTTCCCAAAATCCCATCCATCCCTGCCCTTTGTCAGTGGGAGCCATTCCCTGTGTCCTGTCCCTCCCATTGTCCAAAGCCCCTTTCCAGCTGCTCCAGAGAAACCATTCTTGGATGTTGCTTTCCAGCTCTTCTGGTTGTTTGGTTACTTGATTTTATCAGTGCTGAAAGATATTTCCCATCCCAAATTCCTCCACCAAGCTTTAAATCCTCAATTGAGATGTGAACTTGTCTTGAAGTGCTGNCACAGCTGCTCTGGGCACCCTGTGCCAGGGCCTGCCCACCCTCACAACCAGGAATTCCTTCCAATATCCCATCTAACCCATTCCCTGTGTCCTGTCCCTCCATCCCTTGTCCCCAGTCCCTCTCCAGCTCTCCTGAGGAAGGCAGATCCATGCTGGCTTCCTCCAGAGCCTCATCAGGCTGAGCAAGACAGGAGGGATGCAGTGAAAGCTTCACAAGCCAACCCTTTATGTCCTAAAGCCTCCAGTAAAACACCAGCTCCCTCATCCCTTCCCATCCAAAAAGAAAGGTGCCTGAAGAGCAGCTACTTCTTACACTGTCAGCTGGGAGGTTTTTTATGAGCAAGCTGTGGTTGGGAATGGGAAAACACAGCCAGATTTGGGGATTATCACAGAGAAAAGATGTCAATTCCAAACCATCCACGCTTGGCTCTGAGCATTAAACAGTCCCAAAGCAAACTTGTGAGTGTGGGCATTCTCTCTTGGCTGGACTGTTTGTACTTCTGCAGCTCTAACAAGCAGAGCTGCTTTTTCCATCGTTAAATTCCAGGGCAGACAATTTATTGCACGTAGAATCTTCTCATAAACACACTGGAGCTCACAGTGTGTGCTTGGGAACGTTGTAAACCTGTGCCCACTTACTGCTGGGAATCTCCAGTCCTGCTTGGAGCTTCTCCAGCCACAGCAAGATGTTCATCTCAGTGATGGGCTGCTCTGAGGGGAACTTGAACACCTGACCCCCAGCATGGAGGTTCACCCAGAGGAGAAGGGGCAAGGGAGGAGTGGTGGAGAAGTGTGTCCTCAGGATCCCATATCCCACTGGAGTCTTCTTCCTGTTGGGAAAAGGAGATTCAGGTTTGGCAGCACAACAGGACTGAGAGCCAAAAAAGCCACCAAAGCATTTGGGTCACATGCAGCAAAGCAGAGTTTGGTGGGACTGCAGAAGCATCATCCCTGGAAGTGCTCAAAGCCAGGCTGGACAGGGCTTGGAGCAACCTGGGACTGTGGAAGGTGTCCCTGCCCAAGGATGGGCTCTCAGGCCCCTTCCAACCCAAACCACTCCAGGATTCTGTGATTCCAAGCACTGTAAATAAGCCTGGTGCTTAAGGAACCTGCTAGGATCCAACAGGGATGTGTGAAGAAATCCTTGAGCAGGACAAACTCTGCAGGAAGGTGGGAGATGTTTTCCACCTCAAGCTCCTAAGAAGAGGTGGGACAAGAGTGGGACAGGTCCTGCAGGCCCCCAGGTCAGGCCCTGTCTGAGGGACAGCTGAGAGCTCCTTCCAGCCCCTTCCAGCTGCTGCCACTGCAGTTCCACAGGGATGGAAAGGCAAATTCCTCAGGTGACACACAGAGAGTGAGAACAGGACACTGAGCCAGAGGGACAGCAAGCCCACAGAGGTGCAGACATCCTGCTGAGGTCCACTGAGGTCCTGCACTATTTTAAGGCTTCAGGTGTGAGCTGGCTCTTGCTCTGGGAATGAGGGCTTCTTTCTAGGATGAAGGACTTTTGCCAAGGACATGAAGTGACAGGACACAGGGGGCAGGGATGGATGGGATATTGGGAACTGGGAATTCCTGGCTGGGAGGGTGGAAGGGTGCCCAGAGAAGCTGTGGCTGCTCCTGGATCCCTGGCAGTGCCCAAGGCCAGGCTGGGTGGGATATTTTGGATAGTGGAAGGTGTCCCTGCCCATGGCAGGGGTTGGAATGAGAGGATTTTTAATGCTCCTTCCACCCCAAACCCTTCAGGGGTTCTGCCCTGTTTTGTGGCAGTGCCATTCTGCTCTGGCACAGGAAGTTTTCTGTGTCTCAGCAAGGCAGAGCAGAGGCAGATGTGTAGGTGGGGAAGTTCCAGGGCTCTCATTTCTGGTGCATTACTGGCAGCCCAATCCCCTTTGTCCCTGAGCACATGTGCATTTCCCCCTCAGCTAATCTCCAGCCCACGCTGGTCACGGCTTCCCAGACTTCAAAGCAAGTTATGATTAAACCACTGAAGTTTCTCTGGGCTTGGGCACAACTAACAGAGGCCAAAAAATTCAAAGTGCAACTAAGAAGAGGAGGATTAAAAAAAAAATCCCCTTTCCTACAATCTTTTATTCTTTAGGTCTTAAATTAATTTTGTTGCCTCAATATTTTTTAAATTTAATTTATGGGGCTTCTGGTTGAACCTTTTTGTGAAAGCTTTCTTTCCCCAGTTAATGACCAGTCATTCCCTCTAATTGCTGGTGGAAAATCACCATAAGACATTCCAGGAGGGCAAATTTCCATATTTTTTTTTCTTCCCATATGCACTTCATCCCATCCCAACAAAAATGCAAATAACACCAGACCCAGGGTCAAGCTACTACAAGCACTAGAGAACATTTTCCTCTATTGAAAACGATTTCTGCAATCAATTAAATATTTACTAATTTTACTTTGTCAGGCAATTTTTACAGTTGCCCAGAACACTGAGTGAACCATTGCTCAATGGTTTGACCTCCAATTCCTGATGATTTCAGACCAAATATTCACATTACCAGCTTGTCTTCTCAGCAATTGCAGCCTCAGGGGTTTTTTCTGCAAGGCTCAGAGTGAGTTAATGGAAAGAAGAGATTTTCAAACACTCACAGGTTCAACCAGCAAACCACAAATGTCTGCTGGGGTCTTCCTTTTGCCAGCTTCAGCATTTCCTCACTTTCCACCTGACTGATGTCACCAGCACTGAACAGGATGAGGAAGGGTTTTCCCAGCTGCAGGTACTGGGGCAGATTTGGCACGGTGATTTCTGGCTGCAGGANAGGTGTCCCTGCCATGGAATTAAATGGGAATTAAGGTCCCTTCCAACCCAACCCATTGTGGGATTCGATGCTGGTGATCAGAGCCAGCAGGGGAAATGAGCAATGTTCAGCTGATGGAATTCAGCAGCGTGAGGACCTCATGGAGCACAGGAATGACGGGAACACACGAAGGATCTGCTCACACCCTTCCCTTGGGAACCATGCCTTTGATCAGCAGGCTGCACTTTATTCCTTTAAATACATACATTTTGGCTCCAAGCCTGTCACTCAGTCCAAAAATGGTCACTCTCAATTAAGGCTTTCCAGTGCAGCCCAGGACTAATAATCTATTTCTGGGTATTTCAAAAGCATCACAGCCACGTGTGCTGCTTGCAGGATGAGAAATACTGAGTTTGCAATGCTCTCAGCAGTCCCTTACCAGCATTTTTTCCTCTTCTCAGTAATTTCAGAGCCTTAAAGAGTAGGAAGAGGATCTGACTGTCCCAGTACATCTCTCTGGGAGGGAGATTAAGTTCATGGAAGGGATGGTCATGGAATCCTGGACCATCTGCTTTCAACCTCCTGCCATTTCTTGTCTCCAGGAGATGGAAATGCACTTGCCCAGGTTTTGCATCTCCCCACTGAAGTTCTGGATGTGAAGCAGCTCCATCCCATCTTGGAAGGGTCCAGCCTTGCCCTCCATATCTCTCCACTTTTCCCCAGCACTCAGCTTTCCACAGAGCTTGCTCCCTGCACATTCCCAGCTCAGGAGGCACCAACCTTGCTGCTGTCACCGACAGCAAAGACAAATGGAGGCTGCAAATAGCCCCTGGGCTTGTGACCAAGGAAATGCCAGCAGTGAGCAAAGCCATCTCCCAACCTGCCCACCCCTGGGATTTGCTGGCACAGTTTTGTCCCAGCTATTCAGGACTGTTGTGTGACCTGAGCTCTGGCTCCTGGAATAAATCTGCTTGGACCAGATCCTCCTCTTCTCCCGCTGGGAGGATGAACAAGTTCACGAATTCAGGTCACAAGTCAGGTGTAAACACAACTGGGGCTGGTTGGAGCAGCCCTGGAGTGGTGGAATGCTGGCTCCACACACTTCCAGTGCAGATGGAATTGCAGGATTTTCTGTCACACATCAGTAGAGCTTCTCCTGCAACCAGGGAGGAGAGAAATTTTTTTGTCTTGGAATCACTCACCCCTTCCTGCTCAGGGGCAGCTGAAGTGACTCTGAGACTTGAGGAATCTACAGAGCAGGGCTGAATTGTCCTTTCCAGTGTAGCTTGTTGCTCGATGAGCTCCCAAGAGCAGCGGGGGCACAGGGATGTACAGACACCTCCCTGACATCAGAAACCCCCAGCGCTGAGCAGCAGGGAGTGGCCTTTCCTTTCACCATTCCCTGACAGCCAAACCTCTTCTGGCCCTGGAGAAAAGGCAGGGACAGCGCCAGGCTGTGCAGGGCAGTCCCACCGCTTTCCCCAGCCCNAAACAAGAAATTGGGGGTTATGGGGGGGAGAAAACAGGAGAAAATTCCAATTTCTGCTGCAGGACGTCACAAACAAGAAATTGGGGGTTATGGGGAGGAGAAAACAGGAGAAAATTCCAATTTCTGCTAAGCAAGACTGCAGTGTCTGTGTGGAATGTGGGAAGCAGGAAGAGGGCTGGGATTTTGGTGCACTTGGAGATGTCTTTGCCCAACCCAAGTGCACCAAGTCCGTGGGAGCAGCTGTGAGCTTGGAGATGGGGATGAGAGCAGGGCAGGCAGAGGCTCCAAAAGGCACAGGGAAAAAGCCCTGGGAATAGGGAATAGACCCAGTAATAACTGTGACAACTGGCAGGTGAGTGACTCTGAGGCCAGTCCCTCAACTCCAGGGTCTCCTGCTCCAAGACCACACAGCAAAGAGCAGAATTCTGTCCTGACTCCCTGCTCCAAGCCATAAAATTTAAAAACAAACTCGGCACGATAAAAATAACAAGCGGACAAAACGGCCGTTCCACAGAACTCTACGCTATAATCAGGGCTCTGCAAATGACTGCAATGGAAAAAAGGCATTTTGATTTTATTTTTACTCACAAAAATGTCCAGAAGTTCATATCTGATCATCTGCAGCATGTCCTGCACGCTGTGTTCGGACAGAGCGATGCCTTCCACGCTCCGGCCGCCGCTCCGGGCCAGGAGCAGGGCAGGGGGGGACACGGAATATTTCTGGGATCTGAAAAACAGGGATGGGCACAGGGATTAGGACACACCCTGT